ATCAATATCTCAATTGACAGGCTGTTAATGTGAGACAGGAATATCTGTTCTTGGTTAATCTAGAGACAAATCAATATATTGGTCACACTGCTGCGAGAACATATAAAAAGCCATTATTTCCATTAAAATACAGACCTGCGCATTGATTTGCAAGATCACACACAACCAGAGATAATAGAGGGAGCAACCACACTATGACATGACAAAAAATATCTGACAGTTGACAAATGTACGTTATCTCACTGTATGTAAGTGTATAAATACTTCCTGAGGCTTATCCGTCTTACTGTCTCTGTTTGTCTCTCAGAGCGTAGACGTGGCCAGCTTGCTGCTCTGTCCATAGCAGCGGTGGTCATCATCGTGGGAGTCCCTCTGTGGTGGCGAACAACTGAAACCTACCGCGCCTGGTTACCTGTCAATCAGATAAACGAGTTGGCCAATCTACAGGTTGGTTTGTGCTTCTGGATGTTACTTATATTATTTTCCATGTGTAAGACGTGTGCCTTTTTAAAAACTGTCCCTCTCTTTATTTCTCTTATATATTTGTAGCTACAGTTGAGTGCTGATGTGGAGGTTGTGTTTGCTCGTGGAACTGTGACGCCAGAACAGCAGAAGAAGGTCCCGCTGACGCAGACGCAGGATGAGGAACACACAGTAGATGGTGATTTATTACTGCTGTCTGTCGTCTTATGGATACTTAATATTAAGACTGCTGGGTAATTCTTGTCTCAAATTCTTTCGTCTCCAGAGGACACAGCTTTGAGATACAGGTATGAGACTAAGTACCGCACAGCTACAATCATGGAGGAGGATGCCCTGAACCAGCCCACTGCTGCAGGTGAGATGTGGTCTGCTTATCAAATACAGCTTTCAGCTCTTCACATGCTAACATTTTGTTATCTCAGTGAGAACGCAGGTAGTAATTTCTCTCTGTCTCTTTTGTTCTTCTCCTTTAGAGGCAGATCTGTCTCTGCACACGCTCAGTGAGAGTCCGTGTGGTTCTTTGGTTGTGTATGTGATCCCAGAGTCATCTACACTGCTGCCGGAGGTTAAAACTCTCAATGTTTTGATTTTAGCTTTAATAAGTATTGTTTGGCTACTGTTAACCCTTTTCTATTCTTTATACCCATAGTTTTTCATTAGTGCGGGTGATCATATGTTGAAAAGCTTAATTAAAATCTGCATGTAATTCCATACTTACTTGAGATTAGCTTTTTTGAGCAAAGTTCAAGCAGCATTTCCACTGAAAAGAAGATAATCTATCCAAAATAACCTGTAATTACTGCGTCAAACTACTAACTAACTACTACAGTACCTTCTGCAAAGCTTGCAAACAAAATAATGAGTAATTTGTGTAGCTCCGGATAAGTTAAAGATAATAAAATACCCAATACCTATACCTTCATGCCTCGCAGGATGTGGACGTGTATATCGGTCAGCGACGCACAGCCCTGCTGCGTATTGGCGCCCAGATGAGAGTGGGCAGGACGCTAGAACAATTGCTGGCTCACCTGGAGCCTCGGATCAAACAAGTGCTGCAGGTGATGTCTTTTAGCCACACCGACATCACCGCCGCTCTCAGCGACAGAGTCCGTCTCAGCCCTGGCAACAAAGAGAGCATTGCTGACAGTATGAGGGCCTTTAAATCCAGCCCAGGTTGGTCTTTGTTTCAGCACAGCAATGACAGTGGACCAACTAACTAATTTTTGTTCCAGTCAGTATATACTTCAACTGTGTGAACACTTCCCCTCTGTTCTCTGCTTATTCTTCTCTTCTCTTCAGGTTATGAGATAACGTTCAGTCTGTTGAACCCAGACCCAAAGTCACACCGAGTACACTGGGACATAGAGGGTGCTGTACAGACATACATCCAGCCTTTGCTTACAAAACTGGCCCCTTTGGCCAACTTTAGCATCGACTCTCAGGTACTGCGTGTGCAAGTTTGCGAATGTGCAGCACCCACATCACGATGACAAGATCCTCTTCTTCTGTATGTTAATGAACATATTCTCCTTACAGACCTTGTACTATGCCATGCTCGGTGTAAACCCACGCTATGACAGCAGCCGCAGCGCCTACACACTCAACTCTGACAGCCTTGCGCATGTCATCAACCCTGTGGAGGCTCGACTGGGTAAAAGAAGACACTCACTATGGAAACTTGGTGTTGTTTGTTCTGGTGTGTTTATATGTGTATAACTGTTTTTTTTGCATTTGACTTTGAGGCTCAAATGCTGCATCTTCCAACCCGGTGTTGAATTTCCTTCTGTACGTCCCGGATGCCCACCATTCACCTCTTCACATTCATGACCACAAGAAACAGGAAGTGCTCTCTAATGCGTTTCACTCTCCGCGGTGGGGTGGAATTATGGTAAGACAATCTGAGGGCAACACTAGGTGACAGTAGTCTAAATACCATGAATTTGACTTTGGACTTGAGTGCAAAAACGTGAGATTTACTTGTCATTCATTAAATGGATGACTTGTTCCTTACTCAGATACTGTGTTAGCTATGTAGTGATTTTGATCTATTTATCTGACATCCAGTACTGATTCAGCAAAAACTGTATTTATCCATGTTTTTATAGGTCTATAATGTTAATGGTTTCTATGGACCAGAGGCTGTGTTCCCTGTTGACATCAACATCAACATGGCCAAAGTCATGGGAGTCTTCCTTGCACAGCTTCGGTAACTAAACACCTACAGTAGGAAAATTTGTGCTTTTCCTGTACAAACGAGGTAACTTTCTTGTACCGTGTCCTGTCAGGCTGTTGCTGGGTGTGCAGTCGTCTGCCCCTCCCCCTGGCTTCCTGGTGGCTCCGTGCAGCAGCACAGGACTAGCTGACTGGGAGCTGGACCGTCTCATGTGGAGTCGGACTGTGGAAAATGTTGCAACAGCAACCACCACCATCACCTCGCTGGCACAGCTGCTGGACCAGATAGGAAACATTGTTATCAATGACAACATTGCTCAACAGGTAAGATGCATGCGCACCTGCAGTAACCAGTAGGTTTCTGTTGTGCCTATTTGTGTGCATGTGTGTATAAAATGCAAACTTACAAAAAGTGTCAGCACTGTCCACATATTTCTGTTTACCTTTAGTCTGGCTGTTTCTAATAAAGAAGGTCACACCAAATGCATAATATAAATACTACTGTAATAAAACATTAAATTCAGACACAGACTGAAAATTTTAACATATAAACCCAATTGGGGATGTACATATCTAGCCATGTGGTTCTCCATTCTGGGGTGTCTGATCACTCAAATAGTATTTGACTAGACTGGTTCCAGACCTCTGAATCGCCATCCACATCTCAGATTTGTTAAGCAGTTCAAATAAGTCTAGTGTTGTGTTCATTGAGCACTGTTTCCTCCAGTAAGAGAAACGGATAACAAATCAGAGCTTAGTTAGGTGGAGGGTAAGAATATGAATGTCATCAACTTGCATAGCTAGCTATGTACCTGGCTACATTCATTAAAAATATCACAGAAGCTGCTGTAGAAGTTGTTGTAAGTTGATTATTGGAGGGACCCTGTGGTTCATGGTCAGAACCATAAACCACCAACATATATCTTTGATCAATGTGAAAACTAGTAGAAACTAGTAGCTTCCTCAACTTCAATAGTAACTGCAAACGACACCAACGGGATGTATATGAAACACACTACTGTTTGGTTAGGGGAAAACAAAACAAGAAGTCTGCTAATGGGAGTCCAGTGTCAGTCTGAATGAATGAGAAAGTGTGACCAGTGTACAAATTACAGTGCCTAAGGTAATTATACAACTTCCAATAGTTGCATCAATTGTATCTAAGCTGTGATTGTTGTTTCTGTCCCTCAGGTGTCCAGTGCCGTCACGTCTCTGCAGCTGGCTGTGGCCGAGTTGGAGGCTGGGAACCTTGGCTTTGCTCTGCAGTACAGTAAAGAGGCCATCTTGGCATCAGAGAGAGCATTCTTTGACCCTTCGCTCCTCCATCTGCTCTACTTTCCTGATGACCAGAAGTTTGCTATCTACATACCGCTCTTCCTGCCCATGTGTGTGCCTATTCTGTTGTCTCTGCTAAAAATAGTGTCTGAGGCTAGACAGAAACGCAGAGAAAGGCAAGCCAAGAAGGACTGAGAAAACCTTGAAGAGAATATGTGATAAACTTGTGGTCTGAACAAAAACACAATACGAACAAACAGTCAGTGGCCTTCACGTTTAGGTACAAAGGTTTGCATGAAGAAAGACTCATTTGCAGCGTTAGGGTGTGGGGTATACAAATCAGTCATGCATCATTTTTTATTGTTTCATGTAAGGAATTGTGTTCATTGTCAAATTGTAATGAATGACTGTTGCGGGCTGTCTGACACTGTATACTGGAAAGCTTGAATTATTTTAAATGTGTACAAGTTTTATATTTGAATTCCACTTTCTATTCTAAGTTATTAACAAATAAAGACTAAAGTCGTAACTTATGTTTTTGCTCTGTGGTCAGTATGAAAATAAGAGTGCCTGATTTTATTATTCATTATTTAGTCGATTTGGCACTCAGGAAGCAATTTTGCAAGTTGAGAGTGAAAGTCTGTTGTTGACTTCACAAATAGTGGATTGTTTGTCTCGTTTCCTTTTTTTTCCTCGATATATTCACATTTGTGATAGATGTGAAAAGGACCAAAAAGGAATATGTGGATGGAAGTAATACAAACACACATACTGATGACAAAACAACCTCACCTCATGCTCCATGTAGTAGCTGTTTTGGAGTGTTTAATAATATTGTCTGATTTTCATTAGCAGATAGAATTGGCCCAGTTGTTATGAAATAAATAAATAATAAATAAATACATTTTGAGATAATCGAAAGCTTTGAAGGTGAGATTGTTTACTCACAGCCTGGTTCTGAGGCCAAGATGAACTTTTCAGCTCAGTCCAGTAAACACTGTAGGATGTGAGTCTCCCTCCAGGACAGCAGGCGGCGCTGTGCGTGGCTTTAAAAGCGGCTGTAATCCATCACATCGCTGAATTAAACCGCGTTGTTGGAGGAGGGGTTCGCGGTTCGCAAGTTTTAGCTCTTGTTCATTTCATTGTTGTGAAATCCACCGTGAGGGATTTTTAGCTATTTCACCTGTAGGTAAATAGCAAACTCGTAATCCGCCGACACTATTTTTATATACAGTGAATTACCGAAGCGTCCAATCCTTTTGTTTGGCCGTAGGGTAGCTGTTAGCTAGCCTGCTAACTTCCGTAACTGCTAACGTTAGCTCGTTTTGTGCTAACATGTCTGGCCAAGGAGTAGTTCGCGGTCCCGCCGGGAGCAACGATTGTCGGATATACGTGGGGAATCTCCCCCCTGACATACGTTCAAAGGACGTCGAAGACTTGTTTTACAAATACGGAGCCATTCGTGATATCGATCTGAAAAACCGACGAGGAGGACCACCGTTTGCCTTCGTGCAGTTCGAGGACCCGAGGTGAGCTGCAGTGCTCCGCCATGCCTCAACGTTTGGTCCCTAACCTATTGTCTAATTATGCAGAAACCTAAATAAGTGGGCACATAACTTTGTCAGTTTGTTAGGATTTACTTCAGCTTGCGCCCCCTTTTTTTTTTTTTTTAATAAGATTTCGTTAAATTGAGAGATATTTCGATTAATTTCCGTGGTCATTTTGGAGGCAGTAATGCTGATTGTGGTGCTATTGAATAGTATTTCATTGTGCTGAGAAGTGTTTCTAATATTTAGTCCACCGACACTGAGGTTGTGGACTGCGTTAGTTTTGTATTAAGGTTGGGTGTGCCCAATAATTTGGCGTGCAAGTTGAGTTAGTTTGCACACAAACCTGTTATCAACTTACTCTGCAACCTGGCCAACCAGTTTGTAAGGAAACCTCAGGTAGACAATCTGCAATGAGTGCAATTAAATGATAAATTGACCGACAGAATATTAATCGGCAACTATTTTGATAGTCGATTAGTAATTAATCGAGTAAATGTTTCTCAAATGTTAACATGTGCTGCTTTTATTTTTCTGATATTACAGTAAATTGAATATCTTTTTTTTATGTTTTAGACTGTTGGTCGGATAAAACAAGGCACATGATGACTTTACAATACCTCGGGCTCTAGGACACATTTGTCACTGTTGTACAATGTTTTATTGAACAAATGATGAATCAGTTAATGTGAAAATAGTTAACAGATTAATGGATATTGAAAATAAATGTTAGTTGCAATCCTAATAAAGTTCATCTACTTTTTGTGCATTACAAGCTTTATCTTCAGGCTGTACACTTTTACTCGACTAGCTATATTTCATTGGGAATATAAAAGTTCTCATTTCTTTATTCAGATGCCAAAGACTGTGATGGATGACTATAAAAGCTCTTTCCTCACACAAAGACTATTAAAGCAACTAACTGCCTACCATTTCTTTGTTCAGTCAAGACTCTAAATAGGGTTTAAACACTGTCTTTCAGTGTCACACATTAGTAGTATAAAATTATATCAACTAACAGTTTAATGGATACATCTGTGAATGCACAATAAAACTGCACTGAAAGGCTTCCCAAATGGGAATGTTGGTTGCAGGAAAGTGAGCAAATTTAATAGATTGAACCTTTGTACAGACACGGGCTGTTAATGCTCAATGTGTGTACATGCACTGGGCACGAAGAACACACAAAGACTTGGACTCACAACTACTTTGGATTGCAATGTGTCAACAATTTTCAGTGCCAAGTTTGAAACGCATGAGTGGCTGCCAGTCCAAGCCTTTGTGTGTTCTTCATGCACATTTTGCACGTAGTAAATTCTCTCACTTTTCTGCATTCAGCTGGCAAAATAATTCATTCATTTAACAAGCCCTCATCGAGTTATTGTTTTCCCCCTGGTTTCATTAGTAATAGGCCAATAGTTGTAAGATAACATGTTGCAACCAAAACAAACCAACTGGCAACTTATCTGGTTTTGCCAACTAGTAAAGTTGTATTTGTGTTTATTTAACTGTCGGATTTCACAGGGATTCTGAGGATGCGGTTTACGGGCGTGATGGTTATGACTATGATGGCTACCGCCTGCGTGTTGAGTTTCCTAGAAGTGGAAGGGGAGGAGGTGGTGGTGGTGGTGGCGGCGACCGTGGTGGTGGTGGTGGTGGAATGGGGCCCCCAAGAACAAGACATGGTCCCCCCTCCAGACGCTCAGAGTACAGAGTTGTCGTGTCAGGTGGGTGATGCGTCCGTCCCTCTGCATGTTATGCTTATCTCTTTACCATAAGTGTATGGATGAATGTACGAGTCTTAACGCCACCTTTTTCCCATCAGGCCTACCTCCTAGTGGAAGCTGGCAGGACCTGAAGGATCACATGCGAGAGGCAGGTGATGTATGTTATGCTGATGTGTACCGCGATGGCACCGGAGTGGTGGAGTTTGTACGCAAGGAAGACATGACCTACGCTGTCCGTAAATTGGACAACACCAAGTTTCGCTCTCATGAGGTACGTAACGTATTCCATCCTCTGGCTAATTTAATAAGGAATAGCGGTGGGACTACATTTTGGAACTGAAAAGTTTTCTAGTCAAGTTACTGCTGCAGGTAATTTCCTCTATCCAAGTCTCATGTAGCAACTTACACATGGTAATGGATGCTTAGTTACATGTGTGTGTGCATGTGTTTAGGGAGAGACGGCCTACATTCGTGTGAAGACGGACGGTCCTCGCAGCCCCAGCTATGGTCGTTCCCGCTCTCGTAGCCGAAGCAAGAGCCGGTCACGCAGCTTCTCCCCACGTCGCAGCAAAGGGTCTCCACGTTACTCTCCCCGGCGTTCCCGCTCTCGCTCTCGCTCCCGCACCTAGATTCACCTTCAATAAAGCAATGGTGTGCCTCAGAGCCGGAGAAGAAATCCTCACAAATCCTATATATTCACCACGGATCATCTCGTGTGTTACCTGTTTACACTGTCTTTGTATGTTCACTATTGCGCCACTTTTTTTGTTGCAGTTTTCTTTTCTTTTTTTTTTAGTTTTCATACTTACTGACTGGATGAGTCTGCGCTGTGTACCTCACTGTGTTTCACTCTTGCCATTCTTCCTTTTTTTTTTCTCCCCCCATTCTCATCAACTTCTGCTAGCCATCTCTGCCGCTTGTACACTTTTCCTTCTACTGATTGTCCCTGTATGCTTTATGTTTTGTTTCGTTTGGAAACATTTTTACTTTTTAAGCATATACTACTGTCCTTTTGACCTTCTTGTGTGTCTCTCTGTAGAGTTCAGAGGAACAGGATAGGATGGGAAGAGAGGAAACAGTTCATATTAAGATAAACAGGAGGAGGAGGAGTCAAATATGGCACCAATGGTATGATGGCTGTGCCTTGTCCACTGTGAAATCTGCATTATAAGGATGTTAAGTTTTTTTTTTTTTTTTTTTTTTTTTTTTTTTTTTTTTAATACACTTGACAATAGAGTGCCAGTGTTCAATGTTTTCAGTTTATATTTGGAGACCCAAAGCTTGTGTTATCTTTGGTTTTTGGTTTTGATTATCTTTTAGTGTCCAAAGTACATCTTTTTGGGATTGATTATAGATGGTATCCCTGTTTTTCTCAAAGTAAACCCCCTCGTAGATTCATTTATTGACATTTTCTTTAATTCTTTTCTGAAGGTGTGATTCTAACTTGCCTCCTTCTCTTTGGTTCTGCTGGTATTCTGAAGGTTTGGACTGGGCTCATTGTCTCACCATTCCGGAGCCGGATCAGGATTCAGGATCAGATCAGGATTAGGATTAGGCTTCAGGATGGATACATGGAACAGGAGTATGGGAACATTTTTTACCGAGAGAGGATCACGAGGATCCCTGTCCACATAACCCCATCAAACCGGAAACATTGTAGTAGAAATATTTAAACTAAATTGGCTTTCAAATAATCCAAATTAATTTTTTTCCATTTTGTGTTGGACGTCAGACACAATTTCTGATGCCACTGCGACAAATGATTATTTTTCAGATTTTTTTTTTAGTTTATAAAAAAGAAGAGCAAAGCTGGGCTCAAAACCAGGAGGAGGGCTGGGAGGTGCAGGATGGATCCACACGCGTATGGAGAGTGGTAAATAGTGGGCAACCATTAACAGTGGAGGAGGGAGGGAAGAGGGGAGGACTGGGAGGCGACAAGGGAATGTGACCTTTAATGTGGTTTATATTTTTTTTTCTTAGGTCAGTCATTTCCTGAGGAGGATGATTTCTGATTTTTTTTTTTTTAAGTATAATATCCACTATCTCAAAGCTTTATTCTCTTTTAATAAAACTTTTAATAACATGCGTACAATGTTTGTGTTTTTCTTTTATTGCATTTCCACAGTGGGTTGGACACAAACGTGCAACAAATGCAGTTGGGGTATTTGTGTATAGCTTTTACATAATACCGGTTGTTTCTGGAGGACTGGATTGCCTGATAATGGTTAATGGGTCTAACTTTTCAACCAGTAAAAGTTAAATCTGGCTGAGCAGGTGCTTTTTGCTGTTGTTCTTAAAAGTGTCGGTGCCTGTATAGGTGCAGTCGCTGTAAAAAAACAAACTCAATAAATACAGATTGTTGTATTGAGTCTATAACAATGTGTCATATTTTATAAGCTCAAGTGTATTATATGTTGAATCTGAATATGCCAAGTGACTGTCAAATTAATGAAGTTATTAAGTTAGACAGTGGTAAAGTACAGTACAAGTGCTGATAAATTGTACTAAAGAATAGTATTTATGTACTTATTCCATTCCACCAATGAACATTTATTATTTATTCAATCTCTAAGGACTTTATGACAGCAACACACTGCTAAAACCAAACCAGTAAGAACAGACTGCTGTATGGTTTGATTTTTATATTGTCTCGAAATATTATTTTTTTTTTTTATTCTCAGACGTACAAAAGGAAATCGTACAATTTATCTGCTGTACAGTTTAATTTACCTGAGGGTGAAAGTGAAATATTTGGCGGCAGCGTTTTACGTCACTGCAACAGTACACTGTACACAACGTGATGACGTTGCAGCGTAAGCTCTCCCACGGGGCCAACTGAAACTGGTGAAAGGGTTCAGTTCCCCCGGTAACGTCCCTGTAGACAACCGTGTAGGGTACGAATATAACTTATATAAACTTAAACTTCGTTGTCGAAGCTCAAACTATCGCTTTGTCTTGAGTCTGTTTCTGCGCCGTTAGCTAGCTGCCACCTTTTATTTCCCCCCTCCAACATGTCCGGCGGAGGGGTCATTCGCGGTCCGGCCGGGAGTAACGACTGTCGGATATACGTTGGGAATCTCCCTCCGGACATCCGCACCAAAGACGTCGAGGACGTGTTTTATAAATATGGAATAATTCGGGATATTGATCTGAAAAACCGAAGAGGAGGACCACCATTCGCTTTCGTGGAATTCGAGGACCCGAGGTAGAGCAGCCAGTGGCACATGTCAACCTTTACTATCTCCTTCATTCAGAGTGGAAAGTGAACGTGTTCCCACCAGATAACAGACAGCTGCTGCACTGTGGGGAAGTGTCTGTTGCTGCCCGCTGAGTTAACCTAACTTTTTAAACAATATGTATACAATGTGTGCTTCAAGATTGAAAATGTCATCAAATCAAACACAGTATCAGACCATTAGACACCGTAAAGCCTCCGTACATTACAGTTCTGTACATGGAGAAACATTTCTACTAATTAATTAATTTAATATAACATTTTAAAGTTCCGACAATACTTTAAAGTTAACCCTTTGATAGATTTTATCAGGTGTATCATTTGTTGTTTCATCAGAAACGTGGGGTATTTGAGTCTTCAACAACAGTGAAAGGTATTGAATCTCTACATTAAATAAAAGCATAAATAAATACCCATGAGCTCAATAAAAGAGACAATTAATAAATATAAATGAGTTAATATAGTTAAACAAATAAATTGTGTTTTACTTTACTTTTACTCAAAGGACTATATTTATAGCTGGGAACCTTAATAAATCCACATGTATTTATTGTAGGGGACTTTTCCACATTTAATTTCCCAGTTCTTTTCATTTCCATCTATTATATTCAAATGAATGGGGACGTGGTTGTCTCACAGATTCAGAACAAAGCAGCAAGACTGAACGCAGCCTCCAAGACCAACGCAGGCTATCATGTAGGGAGAAGTGAGTGAGTGTCAATGTCACCCTGCAGGGATGCAGAAGATGCCGTTTATGGACGTGATGGTTACGACTACGATGGCTACCGTCTGCGTGTTGAGTTCCCTCGAAGTGGACGTGGGGGTGGAAGAGGAGGTGGTGGTGGGGCTTTAGGAACGCCAAGGGGAAGGTATGGTCCCCCTTCACGACGCTCCAAGTACAGGGTTATTGTCTCAGGTAGGCAAACGTGAACCCCCTTAACATGTTATCTTGAACGTATGAAATGTTGAGTTTCTTATCCACCTTCCTACCTTCCTCCCAGGTCTTCCTCCCAGTGGAAGCTGGCAGGACCTGAAGGATCACATGCGAGAGGCAGGTGATGTATGTTATGCTGATGTGTACCGCGATGGCACTGGAGTGGTGGAGTTTGTACGCAAGGAAGACATGACCTACGCTGTCCGTAAATTGGACAACACCAAGTTTCGCTCTCATGAGGTAGGTTAAGGGTGCAGGAAGGAATAGCTCTGGGACTAGATTTTGGAATTAAATCTATTTGTTCAAGGTAAGTCCTGAAGTGAAAAATGGAGCAGGTCAGAAGGACAAAATAGGCATGAAAACAACTGGACAGTTGGACTGTTTGCAGGTTGGAAAGACCTTTTTTCATGGTGTTTGTAACCATAATAACTGGGCAAGCAGCTCTTTTCCCATTCCTGCTTATTTGTTTGTGTGTTCAGGGAGAGACGGCCTACATTCGTGTGAAGATGGACGGTCCACGCAGCCCCAGCTATGGTCGCTCTCGCTCTCGTAGCCGCAGTCGAAGCCAGAGCAACAGCGGGTCTCGCAGCTACTCTCCTCATCGCAGCCGTGGGTCTCCATGTTACTCTCCACGTCGTTCCCGCTCGCGCTCTCGCACTTAAGACACACCTGACCTTGATTAAACCACCAGCCAGCCCAACCCAACAGTGCATCTCAGAGTGGAGAAGACAAACTTCACGGGACAACGCCTGTACAGTCTCCATGGACCATTTGCTGTGTTAATTGTTTCCTGTTTCCCCAATTTTCTGTTGTGATTTTTATTTTACTTTACATTTCGGCAGACCAGATAAGATTGGCTGAAGTACCCCGGTCTGTGTACTGTCTCTTCTCCCTTTCCCTTTTCTTGTTTCCTTTTCACCCCAAAATTATCTCTATCTCCTCTCTGCTAACCTTGTCTCCCCTGTTTGAGTACTTTTCCTCCTCTGATTCCAGGATGTGTTGACGGAAATGGTACCCTTTTGGAGGAATTCATCATTGTTTGCCATTTGTTGTTATTTTAGGGGTGGTATGATTATTTCTTTATTTATACATATATATATATATGTATATATATTTTTTCAGTCTTGCATTTACTTTTGTACTTTGACCTTCTCGTGTCTCTCTGTAGAGTTCAGAGGAGCAGGATAGGATGGGAACAAAGGAAAAGAAAACACAGTTCATATTAGGATAAACAGGAGGAGGAGGAGGAATCAAATATGGCACCAATGGTATGATGGCTGAGGCCTCTCACAATTCTGAAATCAGCATAAAATAAGGATTTCGTCCGTTTTTTTTACTCTGAATATATGCTTGAAAATAGCTGAATACTGTTACTGAATGTATGTGGCTGTATTAGAGGTTTTGTTTGTTTCGTTATCATACGTTCTAGTTATAGTTGCTGTATGTGTGCATGCTCCCATATAGCATAAGTACCAGCAAGGTTACTTGTCTTCTGTCAGTAGTCCTTAAAGCCACGGATCCTGCAGTTTTTTCTAAAGCATGTTGAAATGCTGTGTTGGGTCAGTAGAGTATGTATGTGTGTGTATAGTCTTCTTATACTGTACATTACCTTCTGTTTGGAGATCCAACGGTCATTGGTGTTTCTGCTTTTGTTCTCTTGTAGTATCCAAAGTAATTGCTATTTTTTGGGGGGAATTATTCAAATTTTTCTTCAAGTATTTTCTGAAAGTTTAATTCTAACTTGCCTCCTTCTCTTTGGTTCTGCTGGTATTCTGAAGGTTTGGACTGGGCTCATTGTCTCCCCATTCCGGAGCCGGATCAGGATTCAGGATCAGATCAGGATTAGGATTAGGCTTCGGGATGGATACATGGAGCAGGAGAATTTTACCGGGAGAGGATCCCAACCCCCGGCCCTGTCCACATAACCACATCAAACCGGAACCATTGTAGTGAAATATTTAAACTAAATTGGCCTTCAAACAGTTCTTTTTGTGCGGGACCTCAGACACCCAGTCACTGGTGGCATCCTGATGAGTGATTGTTTTTCCGATTACTTTTTTTTAATTAAGAGGAGCAAAACTCGGATCAAAACCAGGAGGAGGGCTGGGAGGTGCAGGACGGATCCACACACGTAAGGAGAGTGGTAAATAGTGGGCAACCATTAACAGTGGAGGAGGGAGGGAGGGAGGGAAGAGGGAGGCGATGTAGAGATGTAACATTGTTTTTTTTCTCTTAGGTCAGTCTTTTGCTGCAGATAATGAATTTTTATTTTAAGCCTTATTTCCAGTATCTTATCTTGAAGCTTTCTTCAATAAAAGTTCAATATAATTTCATATTATTGTGTTTTGTCTCTTTTTTAGCACCTGCTCTGAAGGTTGCAAACCATTTTACATTTAAAGGTCCAGTATGTAACATTTAGGAGGCTCTATTGTCAGAAAATATAATATTCCTAGAAAATAAGAATCATGTTTGTTACCTTAGAATGAGCCATTTTTATCTACAGATGTTCACCTTCTGTGGAGTCTGCTATGTTGAACAACCATGTTTCTACAGTAGCCCAGAATGGACAAACCAAACGCTGGCTCTACATAGGGCAGATCGCATTATTTGCACGTTTCTCCACCATAGTTTCTCCCTCCATTTAGTAAGGGAGAGTGAAGCGAGTGAGTTGCAATCTAAACCCTACACACTGGACCTTTAAATATTTTCACTATAATGAAAATATAATGTTTTTTGTGGATGTTTCTGCTGTCACTAGTTGTCTTGTTGTTTATTTAGTGTGACATGCTAACAGGAAGGATGATCCCTCCTCTGCAGAGACAGGGTTTTCTATTTTTATTGTCAGTAAAGATTCAATAAAAAACACTGATTATGCCACCTGCAATTCTCATATGGCCCCAAATTAAGAAATAAGGTCAGTGCCTTTCTGGTGTGCCTGTAGGAATTAAAGCCAAAGCAAATCCCAGTGGTGAAATCATTTTGATGTATGAGGAGGACATGTTTTTATGTGTATCCCACCATCAGTAGCCTACTAACACTCAAAAAAGCACACTCCTTTACATTTATATTTATCAGAACACTTAGGAAACCTGACTAACTGTCAGCACTACATACTTAACCCATTACTACCTTAAATGTAATGCTAATGGTAATTGACCTTATGACCAAGCATTGAACCCAAAGTAATCCCTCAAAGATCCCATCCCAGTTTTTTTAGAACTGAAAAATAGATATAAAAGGGGGAAAGAGGGGGGATGACTGAGCTACCACGGTGCCCCTACAGACATATTCTAAAACCTATGAAAATCCAGCATGTTTGTGCATGTTGTGAACTTAAGCTTTAAGATGAGCACGGACAGTCACAGCGGATCAATGTGAACGCAGCCTTCTAGTGTCAGACACACATCATTCTGCACAGTGAAGCTCAAACACCCAGGCTCATAACACCAGGGTCAGCAGGTTTCTCAGGTGTTTCTGGGTTGTCCCCCTGACTGAAACCCACAGGTATATATTGTATATTGGGTGTCCATTACATCATCGTGCTGTATTAAAGAAAGTGGAAACTTATAAATCCAACAAAAGGATTCGTTTTTTTTCTTTTTGGACTATACATTTTGCATTTAGCACGCAATATACAATAAGAAATGAAGGTTATTTAGTGCTGTGATGTCTTTGGTCTCTACTGCATGTGATCAATACTCTTAACAAGGCATATATGTGATCAATACACTAAACAATGCACATTCGACTCGTACCTTGCCTCTCCTGATTGGGTCTAATCTTAATGCGCTGCAAGCTATGCTATGCAGATCGATATCGATACACCCGATCACCTTAATCGATCACTCCCTCTGTGGGGACGGGAGGGGGAAGTGAGCTGGGAAACGGTGCATTCTGGGTGGAAATAAGATGCAGGCACTGTCCGCAAGTGAAAAACGCCGTCACCAGGGTGGAGGCTCCGCTCCAGCCAATCAGAGGGCGGATGAGATGCGGAGGGCGGAGCACAGACGCACGTTTTCCTTCCATAAATGAACCAAAGACTGTGCAGCTGCCTGTAACAAACGCTCCTAAACACTATATCTTCGTTGAGAGACGGTAAGAGTCAATTGCACGTGTGAGAGTGTTTCATCATGTGTCTTTATCGATAGAGCAACCTGTGCACTATCTGCAGGTGAGAGGGGGAATACTGGCTCTTCTGTTTGCTTGCGTGCTAATCTCGCCTGAGCCTCCTGTATTTGTCCTGAGAGGCTGTATCAATGCTCCTCTCACTTTCTTTTTGCATTGTAGGCTGCGAACCTGACAGCTTGAGTTGAATTATAGGGGTAACTTGTTGAATACGTGCCGAAATACTGAAGTGCTACTGCAGCAGCAGCAGCAGCAGCAGGAGTAGTTCTCATGCTGTCAGCTGCACAGTGCAGGTGCATCTTCTTCAGTAGTGTTGCAGAGTTGTGTATGTCACGCCAGCTACCTTCTTTTACTGTACTACTTGTAAACAGTGTCTGTTTCACTGGGCGGCCGATATATCTGCATGTATGATCCAGAACTACTGTGTCATCTGAGGGAGGCTTTTTTCCTCAAATCCAGATGACTTTCTGCTTCATGAGGCCTCCTATCCAGACAGTTGGATGGGAGAAGGTGCCTGCCTCAGTTCAGCTTCAAAATGCAAATAAGTAGGCTCATAAGTGCTGCTAGTTGCTGCTTCTATAAACAAATGGTGGCAGTAGTGCTGTAATCATTAAAGTTGAACTACGAGGCTCACTGTTTGCTCAAGTTGGGGGATGGTTAAACTTATACAGAAAATATCTCTTGGATATGAGCTCTAATTTGTTTTCCTTCTTCTGTGCAGTCAAATCGCCAACATGTCTGACAAGAAGGCAGTGATAAAGAATGCAGACATGTCTGATGAAATGCAGCAGGATGCAGTGGACTGCGCCATGCAGGCTATGGAAAAGTACAACATTGAGAAGGATATCGCCGCCTATGTCAAAAAGGTACGTTATATCCACATTTAATGAGCGGTACGGACATGCAACATTTAGTCAAACCTTTTTCATTAATGGCCTTTTCTATCTGTGAATTGTCTTTCCTGCAGGAGTTTGACAAGAAGTACAACCCCACATGGCATTGCATTGTCGGGAGGAACTTTGGCAGCTACGTGACGCACGAGACGAAGCATTTCATCTACTTCTACCTGGGCCAGGTGGCCATTCTACTGTTCAAGTCAGGCTGAAATCCAAACATGCCCTCCTAAAACTACTTTTAATTCAGCCCTTATTTGTGCCATGCTGTACATTTGCTACCACCTTTCTGCAGACATGCTTTCCTCTTGGTTTCTTGCTTCAGTCGGTTATTGTTTGCCACCTACAGCACTAACACCGTCGGTGGATGGCGCTTTAGTTATGCCTGGACTGGTGATGTGCCATTCAGAGAGATTGTAAAACTACTCCCCATGCCAGCTCTCATTCAGCATTTGCACATCAGACAGACTCACCATGACTCAATTTCTGGATATTATTTTTGCTGTGCATTGATGCACGGTGCTTGTACATTGTTTCATATGGGTATGTTGTATAATAACTTATTTTTCATGGAATTAAAATGAGCAACAGACAGTTTTTGTTGAAATGCCTTTAATTTTCAGTGTCGACTGAGATTGAATAAAAATGCCAAGACTGTTGCTTACACTTAATAAAGAATATCACCTGCTGAGAGATTTAAGCTTTTGTACATGCTTGAACATTCCTGTTTTCACTTCAGTTGTGAATATTTACAATGTTACTGTTGTATATCTGCAGTGTAATTTAATGTGCAGTTTGATATTGTGACATTTTCAACATGTTAAGCACAAAATGACAGTAAATTGGTTCAAAATGTGTATGTGTGACTTTGCTTCACTTGCTTGTACTATAATCAAATGTCTTGACATCTTGCGGGGGGGGTGTTACTTGTCTCTTGTTTTTTTTCTGATCATAATTTTGTGAACCATGATACACTGTCAATTAGTTTCCAGATGCTGGCAACACACTGCTTTATCTGGACAGCAATGGGGGTTAGATAGAAAGACATCAGTGTTTTGGCTTGTGTCAACAAAATAATAAAAGTTGAAAAAAAGCCAGACTTGAATAATCACTTGTGGAAGGCTTTTTAAGTTTACTGTACAAATGTTGTATTGATGAGCAGAAACTGGGACCATCCAGCAGAGAGAAGTATAACATTAACTCAACAATATAATTTAAAGGTATTTACAGTGGGTACGGAAAGTATTCAGACCCCTTTAAATTTTCACTCTTTGTTTCATTGCAGCCATTTGCTAAAATCAAAAAAGTTCATTTTATTTCTCAATGTACACTCAGCACCCCATCTTGACAGAAAAATGTAGAATTTTTTGCAAATTTATTAAAAAAGAAAAACTGAAATATCACATGGTCATAAGTATTCAGACCCTTTGCTGTGACACTCAAATTTAACTCACATGCTGTCCATTTCTTCTGATCCTCCTTGAGATGGTCCTGCTCCTTCATTGGAGTCCAGCTGTGTTTAATTAAACTAATTGGACTTGATTAGGAAAGGCACACACCTGTCTATATAAGACCTTACAGCTCACAGTGCATGTCAGAGCAAATGAGAATCATGAGGTCGAAGGAACTGCCCAAGGAGCTCAGAGACAGAATTGTGGCAAGGCACAGATCTGGCCAAGGTTACAAAAGAATTTCTGCAGCACTCAAGGTTCCTAAGAGCACAGTGGCCTCCATAATCCTTAAATGGAAGAAGTTTGGGATGACAAGAACTCTTCCTAGACCTGGCCTTCCAGCCAAACTGAGCAATCATGGGAGAAGAGTCTTGGTGAGAGAGGTAAAGAAGAACCCAAAGATCACTGTGGCTGAGCTCCAGAGATGCAGTAGGGAGATGGGAGAAAGTTTCACAAAGTCAACTATCACTGCAGCTCTGCACCAGTCGGGGCTTTATGGCAGAGTGGCCCGACGGAAGCCTCTCCTCAGTGCAAGACATATGAAAGCCTGCATAGAGTTTGCCAAAAAACACATGAAGGACTCCCAGACTATGAGAAAGAAGATTCTCTGGTCTGATGAGACCAAGATTGAACTTTTTGGCATTAATTCTAAGAGGTATGTGTGGAGAAAACCAGGCACTGCTCATCACCTGCCCAATACAATCCCAACAGTGAAACGTGGTGGCAGCATCAGGCTATGGGGATGTTTTTCAGCTGCAGGGACAGGACGACTGGTTGCAATTGAAGGAAAGATGAATGCGGCCAAGTACAGAGATATCCTGGAAGAAAACCTCTTCCAGAGTGCTCAGGACCTCAGACTGGGCCAAAGGTTCACCTTCCAACAAGACAATGACCCTAAGCACACAGCTAAAATAACAAAGGAGTGGCTTCGGAACAACTCTGTGACCATTCTTGACTGGCCCAGCCAGAGCCCTGACCTAAACCCAATTGAGCATCTCTGGAGAGATCTGAAAATGGCTGTCCACCAACGTTCACCATCCAACCTGACAGAACTGGAGAGGATCTGCAAGGAAGAATGGCAGAGGATCCCCAAATCCAGGTGTGAAAAACTTGTTGCATCATTCCCAAGAAGACTCATGGCTGTAGTAGCTCAAAAGGGTGCTTCTACTCAATACTGAGCAATGGGTCTGAATAGTTATGACCATGTGATATTTCAGTTTTTCTTTTTTAATAAATTTGCAAAAATTTCTACATTTCTGTTTTTTTTTTTCTGTCAAGATGGGGTGCTGAGTGTACATTAATGAGAAATAAAATGAACTTTTTTGATTTTAGCAAATGGCTGCAATGAAACAAAGAGTGAAAAATTTAAAGGGGTCTGAATACTTTCCGTACCCACTGTATATGCTACTTTATACCTTACTGCCCTCAAACAGTGTAGTAACTCCAGAAAAGCTAAACTTGAGAAAGAGAGGCTTTTCAAGCTGACTGGCAACTCAAGGATGATGTGTCCAAAATTTAATTATGATAAGTAACTTTACTGCCAAAAGAAAACAGTAGAGGTCAGATCAACTGTTGCTCTCCTACCTTCATAAACAGATGTTAAATTTATGAGGATTTTCTTCAAAACACGCAACAGTGTTTTGTGTCCTGTCAAAAATGATTTAATGTAATCTCTCGTCTGTATTTCAGGATTTAAACCTGCAAACACTAAGTTTTTAACATGTCTGGTATTATTTGTTTGAACATTAGCAATCAGTCATTCCAGTCCAGTCTCTCATATGTTTGATTTCAAATAAAATTTCCCTTCAAATCTGATGATTCTATGACTTGTGTTTTATTTTGTGTGAAGCACTTTGTAACATGGATTTGGAAAAGAGCTCTATGAATAAAGATTATTATTACATTATGTACAATTTTCATCTGATATTTCACATGAAACTGATATATATTACTGATACAATTCACAAAATCATTCTGCATGAGACAGAATTTTCTCAGATTGCACACATTTGATGCATATCAGACCAGAAATCAATAGTGGAAGAAAAAAGTAGCATTAATATGACAAAATACAAATACTACAAGTAAACAGTCCTGCATTCACAAGGAAATATCCCCAGTGAGTGACACCTACATTACTACAGGTGGAGCTATTTTCTCCCCATCAGTTTAGTCCAGTAGGACCCAACTTAGAGGTCGAGTCTCCTAAAGGGGACTTCTCTGGTCCTCAAACAGTTAAAAGTTCAATTGTTTACATTAATAATGTCCAATATTATCACTAATAAGTTAATACTGGACATTTTATAATTACATAAAGTAAAAAAGGTTGTGAGAATGATATCTTTTGATACTTAACTTAACTTACTTTAATAAGATACTGACTGTAATGTATTTATAAATGCTGATATCGCTTCATTCAATGTTATTTACGGTACCTAGTTGGTTCATGTTTCTGAGTGGCACTGGGTGATAGCTGTTCCTCCGTTTGCACTGTAGGGGGAAGTAATGAGCTTAACATTTGCATGTCAAGCTTGAAATGAAGAGCGAGAACCACCAAGCGAGTAAAATACTTCCGTTCCGAGTCCAAAAATATGGCGGCTCAAACCGGGTTGTCAGCACTTGCCATTGAGAGCCGCAGTGATGTCCCCGTTTTCCCCCCGGTGGCTCTGTCCGCGGAGGCCGCCCCGTTCACTCCGGTCCGGACGGACGGTTGGCGACTCGGCTCACCGTCGGACGCCGAGAAACAATTCTCCCGCAGCGCCGCAAGACTCAGAGCCCTGCGAGCAGACTCAGGCCAGCTCAGAGGGGAGCTCAACCTGCTGTTTGACCAGCTCCTGTCCGAAAACTACAACAAAACCTTCGAGCCCAATATCAACATCCGGCCAGAGGTAACGAATACTCACGTTGGTGTTGTTTTGGCGCCTGTGTTCAACTTAACCTGAGAGAGTTAAAATGCGTCAAACGTGGCAATGATGGTGCAACTTCTTTAACTCACTCTCTGGCGGCAGTACCTCCCATTGCCTCAAAACAATAAACTCAAAATACATGTCGTTAATTTTTTTTTATCCTTCAGTGAACGCATTTTCATCCTCATACACCCTAGCAACCACCCAGTAACCCTAGCAACCAAAGAGAACATCTCAGCGACCCACAAAGTACTGCCCTAGCAACCGAAAAGAAAACCCTTATCAACCACTCGGAAACAACCCCCAAAAAACAAAATGGCAACTAGCGGCCACCTTTTGACTCATTAGCACAACTTCCAGTAACCCATCCAGCAGCTGTGGGGGAATGTCAAACCAACCATGAAGCAGCACCCCAGAAAAAACAAGCAAGTTTTGCTCTGTCAGCGAGCACGCCTGCATTTTCTTTGCCTAGCTCCAGGCTTCTTCTCAATCAACTTATGTAATATCTAAGATTATTTTGTTTTGTTGCCGTGAAAGACATTCTTGAGCCTCTTTAATTTTCCATTTCAGGATGTGTGCAGTCTGCTGAAACACGCCAGCTCTCTTGTGCCGCTGAGTCAAGAACATTTGGTCATCAAACTCTGCCAGCTAGTGCACCATCTACTCAATCAGCTGAAGGTAACAGTAGAGCTTATACTACACAATATGTACATAATGCGTACTGAACATGACTGTATCTGTAAGTGTGCTTTCTGAGTCAAGCTGGGGATGTCCTGTTTTCTTATTGTCTGTCCTCATTGTTTCTTCAGGTAATAATGGACGAGCATACGTTGGATGTTTTGGTGAACTATACCGCCAGTGCGTTGAAAGTGTGCAGCACGTGGACACACTCCGATGTCCTCCTGGCACTCTCCACGATCGTGTATGGGAATGGACCGCAGTGCCACCAGGTAGATATTTGCACGAGCTCTTTGATAGTGTATTGTGGTAAATGATAACGTTATTGAATATTTACATTTGAATTTTTTCTCATTCCTAGCACCTCAGTGACTTGCTAGGTGAAGACGGGGTCCTCCTTCTGTATAGTTCTCCTTCTCAGCCAAATATGGAGTTACGCCGTGTGGCTCTTACGTGTATGGCCAACATCTGTCTCAGGTAGGCTTTAGTGGGCTTAAAAATGTAGCTCTTTTACTGTGCACTTGCGCCGTAGACTAAAGACAAGATGTAAATGTTTTCTTCTACATTACAAGAAGTGAAATTAGGTATTTAGACTGTAAGGCCTTGTGGGAAATTTGTATTTACTTTGCATATCAAGAGAGATTTTAAGTTGAGTTTTGCAGCCATCTACATCTACATTCATGTTATACTTACTATAAAAAACGTAATATAATACCTCCAGAGAGACATCTCCGAGCTGGTACTGCAACATAATCCACCACTCCCCCGGCCACCTAAATATGAGATATAAGTGACATAGTTTGATTCTAGCTAAAGGCCCCT